CTCTACAGCGATTTCGCTGGAACGAATTAACGTCGTCAAGCAAGACACCACTGTGTAATTGATTCTCAAAGCCTAAAACTGAAAGGGACAAAATTATGTCGTCCATCAATATAATCTATTTTCCCTATGATGTGATGTCACATTGCCTGGTAGTAGACAGAGAAAGTATAACATTTCTCATAGTTAAGGAATCTTAGGAAGAGAAAAACAGTTACAACAAGGAGTCACAAATGCACCACTGAAATGTCCTGGTTCTGAATTCTCCTCTTACCCTTGGGAAGACTCACCATATATGAGTTAGGGAACAAGAGCGAACTTATATTACTTTGACTACTCTGGCTTATTATAACAATTTAGAGTCATGACATAGGTGAAACTGTGTCATTTAGATCAACATTCTACAAGGCAATTCTAAAAATGGGGGCAGCTGAAACAAAAGAATATAATTCTGAAATTATAGGACGCTGGATCATCACCAAATCTGGCAGTGGGGATTTGAACCCTGTGCAATGTACCATGTTTTCCTGAAAATAAGTCATGGTCTTCTATTAATTTTTGCTCAAAAAAACAAACAAAAAAAAAAGAATTAAGGCTTATTTTCAGGGGATGTTTTATTTTACAGTCATATCATCTTCTTCTGGTTACTGCACAATGCTGCACAATGGTGGAGGGTGGGGTTTCACTGAACTGGGGCTTATTTTTGGGGTAGGGTTTATATTATGAGCATCCTGAAAAAACATACTAGGGCTTATTTTTGTTGAAAAAATATATTAAAGGAGGTTGCCGAGACACTGAGATAAGTAGTTTCAAAATATACTTTATCTAAGACTCTTAGGGAAAAGGTATACGGGAATTCCTATACACAAACATAACATCTAAAACATATTACATACCATATAATTGAGCAAAATAAGCAACAGCAGTCAAGGTAACGCCGATAAGAGGCAAACTCAAAAGGTTCTGCCTTGCTCGTAGCTTTGCACCGTCGGAAGGAGGGTGTGGAGATAGAGGGTGAAACAGGCTACATTTATAAGGCTAATTAACAACAGGGAACACATGAGATTCCTTTCAAGGGTATCCATTAAAGAGAAAGACATGTTACATATTGAATATTACAACAATTTTCAGGTTAGGTCTTGTTGGTAGTCCTGGTCTCTTATTTATTCACTACACCATATTGCATGTAGTGGATAAAACATTAAACATTAGTAAACTGTCATTTGTCAGTGAAATAGCTTTGTCTAAGGGTACTTTTGGTGCTGGTGGTATTGTTGTGGAGACTGTGGATGCAGTCAGATAGTGGGAAGGGTGCACATCTGAGCTATGCTCAAAGAAAATCCCACTTCTTCTCTAAGGATGCAATTTAAAAGGCAAGGGAGCATTTCTTACCCTTTTAATCATCTGGATGAACACACAATTGCTAAGAGATAAATGCTCAAAAAGAAGAAGGGCAACATTTCTTGACAAAAGGTGTTAACATTTCCTAAATCTTGCACACCCAGACAGGCCATCGGAGCATGTTTTTAAGGTTAGAAAGCCTGACATTAGAAGATTTGCAGTATACAGAGACAGCACAAACTACTGCACAGAAAGATACAGCTTGTGACCAAGATGAGTTCCTATGGGTCTTGCACACTTTGCTTGCTTTTCGCTTTGCTTTTTTTGCATTTCTGATGGGTCTTGCATGCTTTGCTTGCTTTCTGTTTTCTGCTTGAACTAGGAGTTCAAGCCTATCTCTTGGGGATTTCACTGTCCAACATACTCTGTGCCCAAACACAGGACCTTCAACCCACTCAGCCCATATCTGATAGCAAAATTTGAGTTACTTCTCTAGCAGATAAATTGCTTTTAGGGGGTACTGGGGATGAAGTCTGCATAGACCTTTTGCTTCTTAAACTCTACCTCCTTCCACAGAGGGATGGAGTGGAGAGCCAGTGGAGAATGCAGGGAGCAACTTTGCAGCTATCAGTGCCTATCCTCAGATCTTTCTTCAGTGTGTTAAGCTAACATAAGCAGGAGTACATTTAAACTTAGGAAGTAAATTTAGTTCTTACATTTCTAAAATCTAATACATAGTTTAAATAAAATTTAAATTGTGTTATTGTCCCATTACCCCTCCCCCAAAACCTAATTGTGTTGGGTAACTCAGTGTATTTCTAATTTTTACTATTGTTCTCTGACACATAACCATATGACTACCACCATATGTGCATATGTGTTGTTTTCACTTTACCTGTATGCTGGGTTAACATAAATACTGCTTTGGTAAACAGCATCAGAAGGTAAAATGTGGAACCACTAAATGCTAGATGCACATTCACTCAGGGTCAAACTTTTTACAGGAACATAATCATAAATTTAAATGTACTATTCTTCCTATGGCCTGAAATTAGATTCCAGCCTTAGAGGCTTGTTTCTAGAGTCTGTCCTTTTCATCTAGTATTATTTAGCAATAACAGTTTATTTTGTTAACCTGCATATTAAGTGAGTTGAAGTTTATTTAAACAATAAAAGGTATTTGTATACCTAGCTCCAAATGTTGTACAGCCTGGTTATGTGGGAATGACACTGAGTCAATTCATGTCTGTAATAATTGTCTGTCCTTGATTCCACCTGGGTTACATTCAACAACACAAAAGCATCTGTAACAGATCATAGAACCATAAAATAATATAGTTGGAGGGGGCCTAAAAGGCCATCACATCCAACCCCCTGCTCAGTGCAAGAATCCAAATCGAAGTATAGTTGACAAATGGCTGTCTAAATGTCACTTAAATGCCTCCAGTGTTGGAGTACTCACCACCCATATCTATACATGTAGAAAAACTTCAATTAGTCAGTCAGCAGATTTCTATTGTCAGATATGCAGCAGACCATCACTTAAAGAATTTAACAGTTGCAACTGCATTGAGGAGATACAAGTGGCTTCAGTCTTCTGTTACAAGCAGACATCCATTTCACTGTTGAGGAATTATCCTTTGATAAACTGTTCTCTTTAGTGTTGAAACCGATGACAAACATTCCTATGATGATAAACTCAGTAAAAGGACAAAGTGATTGGGCATTAATTAATACCTAACAATGGGCAAACTATCATAAGTGTACTAAATGGTCGAGACAGACAGTCTTAGCAACTCCCAATACCATGATTCCCTAAATATAAATCTTTACCTGCATCTTCTCAAACAAAATTAAATTATGTCCACCACTCATATACAAATGCCAAATTTAAAGTACCAAGTTACAAGAGGAAAGAGATGTGTGAATTCCCCCTCTTCTTATGTTCCTCCATGTGTCTCCAAGCCTGCTTCAGAGGGGTGGGTGATCCTACTAAACACATTTTCGGGCAACATGGAAATCTATAATGGGGGGATAGGAGGGAAGAGTAAAAGGTCCTGTCATGCTAACAGTGTACATTGATCAAAATCTTCCTGTTTTGAAAGTTCTCATCAGAACGTTGTAATCTTGAACCACAGACATCAAGCACAACAGAGTCATTTTGATACTTACTTTACTTGATAGAGTGTGTTTCTTATTCTCCTTGTGCTATGAGATTTAAAAAGTTGTTAATCAGTTTTATAGTGGGCAATTCTTAGCTATAAGTCCCTGTGGCATCCACCCAGATCATGAATATTCATGGAACAAAATGTCTTCCCCATATGTACAGTCCAAGCTTCCGCAAATACCATACAACCACCAGACAATCAATCTATGATGGAAATGTGTCTCTCGCCAGCCTGCAGCTTCTCACTCAGGAACGTCACCGGATGAAGGATCCTGTTGTTCTCCTCCTGGCTCAGCATGGCTTGCAGTCTGATGTGGGATGCCTCTGTGAAGTCAGTGCACCCTCAATGCAAATCTGGTTCTCTCTGGGCAGGACCGGTCATCAGCACAGTCTCCAACCTCTTGAAGGTCTCCTCACAGTCGCTCAACCACTGGATCCTGCCAGCTTTTTAAACTTGGGTTAGGTCTGATAAAGGGGCCTCTATTTCGCTGAAGTTCTGGATAAAGCACATCTCATAGCTAACTAACCTTAAGAATGATCTGTTCTTCTTTGTTGTTGGTCTAGGTCAGCTACTGATTTCTTTAATCTCTGGTGTTAGGGGTTTGATTATGCCTCCCCCATCAATATAGCCTAAATCCTTTAACTTGGAGTTACCCAGCAGACCTTTGCTAGCAGACCTAATCCAGCCTCATTTAACCTTTAAGTTTTTATCTGTCTATCTATCTATCTATCTATCTATCTATCTATCTATCTATCTATCTATCTATCTATCTATCTATCTATCTATCTATCTATCTATCTATCTATCTATCTATTTTATATCCCACCTATCTGGTCGGTTAAGACCACTCTAGGTGGCTAGAGTTATAGGTGATCTGTCCATGTGAGACTATATTTCCTTATCTCATTTATGTATGCTATCGTGAATTATCTAAGCTTGATCAAGTTCACATGGACCACTCTCTGACTTATGAAATTTACTTCCTTCATCTTGGATTTTATTCTAAAAGGATCTGCCCAGTTTATCTGCATCTCATTTCCTTTTATAGACCTCAGCCTCAGGACTTTGTCTCCTGGAATGAACGATCTTTCTCTGGCCTTTTTTCCTTGCCATAACTTTTGCTTCCCTTGCTGGCTCTGCAAGTTTTCTGCAGCTAATTTCAGAGATTGTTGCAAGGAATTCATTAACTTATTTATGTACTGGATCATTGTCTCTAGGTAGTCTCCCTGCTGTTTCTCCTGTGATAAGCTTGGTTATGAAAGTTCATAAAATGATTTATTGATGGGATTTGTAATCACAAAGTTAGCCAAAATGAATTCATCTTATTTCTGTGTGTGAGTTGAGAGTGGAAATTTCCAAAGTTGATTCCTAGCTGTACATCTGTACTGTCCAGCGTGGCATTATCTCGTAACTAAGCAACCTGGCTAGTACCGGGTAAGGAAGACTAAACAACTTTCCCTGAGCCTCATGGGAACAAGAAAGGAGGAGATTCTACCACGAGGGAGACGGAAGATGGATGCCAACATACAGGACTCGGCATGAACTATCTAATCCAAAGGACAGTAAGCCTGAGTTTTTCCTATTGAGAAAGTTTACTTTGGATTTTCCAGAAGCCTGATGGAATGTTGTTTTGATGATGGACACTAGGACTTGTAGTTTGTTTTAAGATGTAGTGTTTCCTGAAGCCGGAGGGGAGGTCCGCCCCCCCCTTTTCTTTTTGTTAGCTACATGTTTTATTATTTTCGTTTGTTTCAGAGGAATTCTATCTCCTATCAATGGGGATGGGATTGGAAATTGTAAATATGCTTTGCTATGCTTTGCTTAAACTGATTTCTCATAGAACTATACAGTGGTGCCTCGCTTAACGTTTGCTTCGTTTAACGTTTTTTTCACTTAACGTTTATTTTTTCAGAGGCAGATTGTGCTTCGTATAACGTTTTTCCCTATGGGCGATTTTCGCATAGCGTTTTTGGGACCATGCTTCGCTTAACGTTTTTGGTTTTAGGTCCCCTGCTTCGCTTAACGTTTTTTTGTTTTCAATTTAAACCCATTTTTGTTTGTGTAAATCCCCAGGTCCCACAGTTTCCATTCAAATAGCAGTTCAAATGGACTGAACTCAGTGCTTTCCTGGGGTGCAGATTGGGTTGCATATACCCAGGGTTGTAGTTTGTGATCCCAGTCATTGGGGTTTTCAGCAGCATAAACTCTGATCATTCGCATTAGGGTCTCATTAAATTTCTCCCCTAATCCATTTGTCTGAGTATGGTATGGGGAAGAAGTGATATGAGCTATGCCACAAAGTTGCCACAGACTTTTCATTGATCTGGAAGTGAGTAATATTCCCCTTCTAGTTACTTTAGGTAATGGTCCCATGATGTCCAGGCTTATGCATTCCAAAGGGGTTGATATAATTGATAAAGTGTACAATTTAGCTTTAGTTTTGTCACTGCCAGTGCCATGCCTCTGGCATATTTCACAGCTTTGACAATATGACCTTATTTGCTTCCCCATCCCAGGCCAGTAAAAATTTTGCGCTATCCTTTGCTTTGTGTGTGTGATTCCCAAGTGTGCAGCAAAGGTATCTGTATGTCCCTTTTCTATGATCTTTTCCCTGTACTTAAAAGGGATGACCAGTTGTCTGTGGATGCTTTCCCCTCCCCTCTTTGGATTTAACAGGACCTCCCTATATAACAGATCTTTGTCCACAAAGAATCTTTCAGGGGACTCAGGGGTTATTGGTCCTCCCCTGGCCAATTTAAAGCATTGTTGTAATTTAGAATCCTGTCTTTGTTCTTGTGTAAAACTGTTTTCATGAGGATTTCTTAGATTCACTACCTCAGCTAGTTCATCTGCTTCATTTTCTCCTATTTCTTCATCAGAGACCTCACATTGTTCTTCAGGTGTTGCTATCTTTCCTATCTGGGAGCGAGTAGTTATTAAAACACTCTTAACATGCTCAGATAAATCTAACCCAATCAAACAAGGGGTAGGAATTTGAACTGTGATGCCTACCTTCCACATTCCATTCCACCCTTGATATTTTATATGTACTTTAGCCATGGGCAGAGTAATTAATTCAGTCCCTATCCCTTTTATGGTTATCTGTTCATTTTTCATGATGTCTCCCTGAGGGACAATATCAGAATGACATAGAGTTACTTGAGAGCATGAGCCTCTCAAAGGTAGATACTTAGTATTATTTATATAAATAGTTTCTCCAGAGCAACGGAGCAGCTCCATGTTGCTTTCAATAAAATAACATTGCACAACATTGGCTAAAGGAGGCTGTTTTTCTGGCTTTTGGCTCTAGCAGTCACTGCGCCATTTTAACTGTCTCAGTGTTCTCCCACTGCAGTTGTATACAGTACACTTTCTTGGGCACCCTCCCTTTCTGTAGACTAAAGTCTTTATTCTTTGATATTTGACATTGCGAAATGAAATGCTGTTTTCTCCATAACACATTTTTGGGGCCCTTTGTTCAAAGAAAGGGGGCTTGTCTCCCTTCCCTTCACTGCTTTTGTACTTCTGTTGATTTTTCTCTGAGGGTTTGTCCCTAAAATGGCTTCCAGTTGTCTGTTTCTGGGGTAATCCCTGGGCTCTTTCTTTCTGTCCTCCCAGTTTCTACCACCAAATTTTAACTCAGAAAATTTTGGGTTTTTGGTTTCTGAAATATAATCAGCCATCTCACTCACCTGCTGAACTGTTTTAAGCTATTTATCTCTGACTAAATATCTTAGTTCTCCAGGTAGAACTGAATAGAAATGTTCTAGCCTTATTATATTTTTCAACATTAGCTTGTTCCAACCATTTTTCCAGATATCTGACTAGTTTGGCTCCTAACTGGGAATATTTCAGGTTCCTTTGTCAATGCTCTAAACTTTCTCCTGAGGTGTTCAGCATTGATTCCAAATCTTGCGGAAACCAGTTTTCTAAAAGCCTCATATTCTCTTGCTTGATCTTGGGGCTTTTGGGAACAGATCTCAGCAACTTCCCCACTTATATGCTGTGACAAACCCAGACCTACTGGGATATACCACAGTTTCACTAAGCTGCCACCAACCATTCCCTATAAGAAGTCACACAGACCAGGGATGGATTTTTAAACAAATAAAAGAACAAGGTTTATTTACATAACACACAGGGAAAATAAAATGATCAGGTGAATAAGATATAGTAACGTGGCTTAGTCTCATTCATACATGCACACAGTTTAGTTCACACAGAACACTTAACTTGAAGCACAGACCCTGAACCTATCAGTTCTGGCTAACCATACAGACACCTGAACCTATCAGGTTGGTACTGACTGACACACAGTAGTACCCTGTCTGACACACAGACCCCCACACCAGCTTCTTCTTCCCAGCTGCTGCTTCTTCCACACAAGCTCCACATATATATACAGTACAGCCCCTCCTCCTGATGTCCCGCCTTCCACTCCCCATAGGATGGAACTTTCCCTCCAAACCCATGACAGACAGGTAACATCAGTGCTGTATGTAACACCTCCCCTCTTTATAAGTTGTTTTGTAGGGGGAAAGCTAAGGTGCTTTTCACCAAAAAAACAACCTGGTTAAAACACACAAAAACAGTTATACATACAATATCATACTTACTTATACTTACA